GAATAACAATTAAAAGAACATCCCCATCAGTTCTCTTAACTCAAATAAGCATGACAAAATTCATGACTATCATGTCCAGTTTTGCTGCTGTTAAATAAGCCGAGAGTGAAGCGGAATTAGCTAGTAATTACGTTACGTTGTTACAGTGTAGTTGTCCTTTTAACTTTTGACAATGAGACTGAAGTATTTCTTTAATAGCGTGACCGTTATACCAGTGAGACGTATCATCTCTCCTTGACCTGTTATATTGAAAATGTATGTTTTACAATTTGCAGTATGACGTTATCCATTGCTAAATTATGGCTCATCATAGGCTAGCTAACCACAAAGCTAGCTAATGCCACTATCAGTGGAAGACCGCTAACGTTAACATTAATGAGCTTGGAAACCACAACGAACTTATTCTGCCTAAATAAAGTAATGAATACTGTATTTATAACTAGCATCTCTCTAGTTACAGTCCCTGCATTGTAAAATGTAAGTTAGACATTTGCGAGGAGTGAACATTTAGACATAAAGAAAAAGTATCAAACGTAGCTTGTGCATAAAAGTTCTATTGCTTGTGCTATTCAAAGTTATATTTATGAAGCTTACCAAGTCTTTTAAAACTGGTAACTTTGATTTGTTTGTTGTTGTTTTTGTGTTTTTGTTCAAAGGACTTTACGTTTGATATCTTAAGTTTGTATTTTTATACATTTTATTTATCAGAACTTTAATATATTTTGATGTTCCTCTGTTCTGTTGTGACAACAAAAGAAACAAGTTTCTTTTTAAAATGCATTATCGTATTATGTTAGTTAAAACTCATAAATAACTACAAATAACTAATGTTAGGGAAATCTGTTAATGTTTTGTTGCGCGATTCTGAAATAAAATATATATATATATATATATATATATATATCGGCCGATATATCGGATTTTAAAACCAACAAATATTTGTATCGGTATCGGCCTTCAAAATCCTTCATCGGTCGGGCTCTATTATGCAGTTAAGAATAAGGAAACATATAAGCAATAAAATATTCTGCAAATCTACATATAGATTCATACTTACCTAAATGAAGCTAATGTTGAACATTAGACAAATCAAATTACACACCACTGGCTTATCCTGCAGCCTATCCTGGCTTGACACAATAACAACCCGCTGCTGTGCTGTTCTGGTTCCTGTTGATAAAACCATATACTTTACTTTAATAATATTTATTTTAAAAAACACTTATTGAGTAATAAAAATGACTGAATTGACTTGCATGACGGGCTTTCCACTTGGCTGACTGCTCAATTAAGTTAAATATAATATGAAAAGCAGCAAAATAAAGAAAATACTGAGTAGAAAATTGTATTGTCACGCCCCGCTCCGTCCGCTCCCAATGTGTGCCACGCCCACCTCATTACCTCCTGTTTCTCCCTGATTATTCTCACCTGTTGCCTGTTCCGTTTGCCTAGTCTTGTCCATATTAGTCCGCGTCTCCCACTGTTTCCCAGATTGGTCATTAATGTTACTTGTTGTGCTTCCCCGGTCCCGTCTTCCTTGGAATAAATCCCCGTTTTGCCCTACTGCCTGACTCCGTTTGCCTGCTTCCCGGATCGCCTTCCGCCCGACC